TACATGTAAGAATTGCACTTGGCTTGCATAAAAACAGGGAACTGTGCTTTTAATATGTCATTAAATATTTAGCATCCACATTTCTGTGTGTACTTTAAGAAAAATTTATATAGCAGCTAACTAGAGACAAGCAAACCCTCAGATAGCTGTTGCTGTTAAATTCTCCTTTAAGACTATTTCTAAATCTGTAGTGCACTTATGTAAAGAAAAAGACAAACTAAAATTCTTCTTCAGTTTTTCACATATTCCTGTTTAAAAAAAAAAATATTTACAAATATTCCAGCGAAAAAAGTAAATATGGTTTCTGTGCAGAAGTAGCATTTTGATGAGAATAACTCAGTCTAGGTATAATTTAAATCAGGAAAGTACATATACAGACATTTACAGAACACTAGAAAATAAATATACGTTTGTTAAGTTGCTTACGTACACTCATTAAATACTTTAAAGTGTTATTAACATACTCTTCAGTGTTTCAGTGTTTCCTTTAAAGTGCTTGATTCCCTTCACCGTTTATTAAGCCATTTGCTGTTCAAATTGCTGTAATCATTGTAGGAGAAAGTGGTTTTGAAGATATTTGTGCCAAATCAACTACGCAAAATAAAATCGTATTTCAATTTTTTTAATGCAGATCCTTCCAACAGTACATACCAAGGCAGAATTTTTTTTCCTCCTCACTTCCTTCTCTCCACCACCAATTCAACTCAAGCCTCGGCAGTACACATTTGGATGAGTTTATACATGTAAGTGATAGAAGAATTGCCTGGGTTCTCTGGGAGGCTGAGCTGGTAAAAGAGAGTAGAACTAGATTTCTGGTCCCTGTGTGCCTTTAAGAAAGCTTTTTTTCACCTGTAACCCAAGAATACATTAGTACAGCTTGCTTCAGAGACAGAAACCGCAATACCCCTGCTTCCCTTTATAACCACTGAGAGCGAGTGTCACTGAGATGCCCAAATTAATCCTCCAAAAACTGTGGTACGTAGGTTTGAAATAAAATAAAGGTTTCAAAATGAAGGGATGAAATGGCTATGGATTCCTCTTGCTAACTCCATGGTCATCCCTGGGACTTCTTACAGGAGGTGGGGATTGGGGCTCTTTGCAATCTAGTCTTCACAAAAGATTGCTTTCTCTGCTGAGCTAGAAGAACTGCAAGGAGATGGCAAAGCACTGGTGAGCGCCACCCCCCGCTCTCTGCCACTTCCCAGCTTGTCCTTTTATGTATGTTTAGTCAATTCGACTAAAAGCCAGCTGAACTAAATTGAAACAAAGTAGTCAAAAGATACAGTGATCTGTTTATCAACTGGCAATTTTAGATTAAATTAGCAATCTCATGCTTTCTGGAAGCCTTTATTTTGCATCTTCAAACACATGCATCATTTTCTCAAAAGATTACTTTAAAATTTGCCATTTATGTGACCATCTTGAAAGGTCTGGACTTTAAAACTCATTACTTCAAGAAGCTAGGAAAATATCAAAGCATTGCTAGAATGTAAAGGGTTTGTTTGTTTTATTTTGAAATTCCTCGAAAAATCTGGGATGAGACAGGGTAGAATTAGAACCTGGTGAGGTAGTTTTTCACTCATGAACTGTCAAGTCTGTCTTTTTTAAATAAATAAGAAAAATATAACAAACAGGAGTGGCAACAAAAAGTATCATATTAATCTCTCTTTTTTTCTAATTTCTTTTCTTGTTTTTTTCTACTGCCTTCTATCATTCTTCTTCCTTTTTATTAGTTTAATAAGGCCTAGTTCTGGCTTCTTTCAGTGTATCTGATGTAATGTCAAATTCTGAATGTAGTTAAATGTGTATGTATGTGAACAACCAATGTGTCACTGAGGCAACTTAATGTACATGGCAGCTACTATTCCAACTTTGCTACACAGTTGGGTTTAGAAAAATAATCTTCAGGAATTCTGATCAGTTTTGTTTAATAGCATGCGTAATTATTGTGGGTAAGAATTTATTTTCAAAGTATTTTTCTTTTTTTTTCCTGGGTAGAATTTTAATCGAAAAGGAGGATTGTATCTTGAGAATTTCTTGGCATTTTTACAAGTCGTAAGCAAGATAAACAACAATTAATTTTTCAGATGTATGCACTGTTTGCTTTTCTGCAACATGAATTATCTGCCAATCTTGTAATAACTCTATCAAACTTTAAAAAATAAACATTCTAGCTGCCTGCTAGAAAAGTCCTCTAAGAAGTTCCTGTTATTCCCACAATGGAACCAGGATTTCATCTAATAGAATTGCACTGTTAAAACCAATAGAAGACAAAAGAGACTTTGACAAAACATTTTTAGATTAATCAAGAAAATTGACATGCAGAAGTACACTTATAACATTGAAAATTACCTGTTGCTCCCATATGTTCCTGTGCTAAAGCTCTCACATTTCAAATAGCACCCAAGCAATCAGTGGACACAGAAATGCCTCTCACCTTCTGAAATGGTACTGCCTACATTCTTTCTTACATTGCTTTATATTTACTTTGGGGTTTGGATCCTGCATATTTACAATGTTAATATGTCAAAATACAGATATTCTGAAGAACCAAAAACATGAGAAGGAAGATTGCTAGTTCTAAGCCATTACTTGCTGTGTTCTTAATCTTTTATGGGTGCACAATATCTGTGAGCTGCATTAGTTGAACTACTGACCAGTTTATAATAGGATGTGCTTATGCCCTTTTTTGCTCAAACCTAGAGCAGTTGGTTATTTCCTGAAGGAACTGTGGCCCTTGGAGAGCTTAAACTGGAGCAGATTTTTCTGAACTGGAAGAGGAGCAGGAAGGGACCTGGTTACCAGAGGCTACCCCAACCCCCTTCTGCTGCTGCAGGGGGCAGGTAAAGGAGTTGAGCCCAGGAAAAGATTGGGGGGAGGAAGGTATTGTTTTAATTTTTGTCTTTGTTTCTCAGTATCCAAATATATCTTACTTAGCAATAAATTAAACTAATTTTCCCCAAGTCCATTTTGCCCGTGATGGCATCTGTTAAGTGATCTCCTCGTCTTTATCTTGACCCACAAGCTTTTTCATCCTGTCTTCTCCCTTGTCCTGTTGAGAAGAAGAGAAATGGGTGAGCAGCCAGGTGGGTGTTTGGATGCTGGCCAAGGGTAATCCACCACACATTTTTGTTCAGATTAATCAACATCTATTTGATCCAGATTAAATTATAATTGAACATAAACTCATTTCTTAGTTTTCTTTTCTATTGCATATTCTAAAATGGTTAAATCCAATCTCATTTTATAGACTGTCTCTTCTTTGCTACAAGTAACAGAGCGTTTTTTCCCTTTCAAATAGAATGGTGAATGTCCTTTTGTGTTAAGTCTGGAAAAGTCTGGAAAAGACTTAGAACAAAACCTCAGGGCCCCATAAACTTGTCCTCAGGCTCTCCATGGGCACAGAGATAGGATCCCTGACTATTTCAGTCCTTCTAAATCTGTCATTTCTTTGTGAAGCAGAAAGAAACTACTGGAGAATTTGCTCCAAAAATTGGATGGTTGTATGATTGGGATGAATCCGGACTTTGAAAGATGATGGTAAGAAGTGCTGAATTGTGCTGTTTGATTGTGAGCTACATGTTGCCTCTGTCAAGTAGTGTTTTGGCACCAAAAAAAATTGAAAAACCTAGACTTACTATACTTCTGCAGTTCACTTTGGAATACATTTGGAGAACCCTTCAAAAAGCAATTTGTAAAAAGCAGTTGAATACAGTTAACTTGCATTTTCTTCCTGATAGCGTGCTTGGGTGTTACCAGTTTGTGGTGTGTTGGATACATGTGATTATCTCCCTGCAAACTGTGGTGCATCTCCAAGGCTTAGATAAATTTCTGTATCATATAGTTGAAGGAAGCCAGGATTTGAAACTAGCTATTATGGAAATCACAAAAAAAATACCCAAAGCTACAGTATTTTCATTGTTCCAGCATTTATATTTTACCTGTCCCTGCAGTCTGGCAGCATGGGTTTCAAGTCATTCAACTGAAGCCATTTAAAATACATGGGTCTAGCCTAAACCAGCTCTCTAAAGTACTCTTTACAGAGGTAGATGCTGGCAGGGGGCAGTTCATCTCATGGAAGACACCTATCTTTTGATGGCTAGGTTCCTCTCTGGAAATGCTACCCTCTGTCTGCATTAACATTTCATATAGCCTAAACAGTCACTTTAACTGTGTATCTAACTTTTAAATGGCCAAAGGTACCTGACATGTGACTTATCACAATCGTCTCCAAGGCTGTGAATCCGTAATCAATCATAATCTTTCATTATCTTTGGATTACTCAATTGCACAACTTTTTGTAAGATTACATGAAGTTAAGCTATCTTTCTTCTACTTTTATAACCTAGAAGGGAGCATCATAGCAGTTGGAATAGCAATTACAATCTTCATTTTAAATGTGTATCTTTTTAGTGTGTTTTAATAAATGTATGCATTTGAAATAGAGTATCTATTCTTCATTCTAACATACCTCTTATGTGTTCAGCACCCTGCTATTAGTATTGAAAGTATGCCTTATTGAAAGATTGACAGGTATTTTACATATATATGAAAATATTAAAAGATTTGTTGTAATATTGCATTAAATTCACAATTATATTTTACATATAATCCAATATCTAAATATATATGTGAATAAATTCTGTTCTGAGACAATTGTTGTTTTTAATACTGTATTTATTTAGTTTTATTGATTTCTTACTGAATTTATCATACTATATTTCTCTTAGGAAGAAAAGCCTGAAAATTAAATATTGAATTTTTTTTAAAGATTTTTTTTTTGCTTCTGTGAAAATTTTTACAGTTTATTCTAAGATGAAATAATGCGACGCTTTTAATAAAAAAAAAAAAGAAAAGGAATCCTGAAGAATCAGAAGCCTAAAGATTTCTTTTCTCTACCTGTATCACTGAGGAAAACAATTACAAATTAAATACTCTTCTGACGAAATATCTGTCCAGTTAAAAAATAGCTTTTTGTGCATCATCTCAAAGCTGCCAACATGACCTACTGTAGTGGATTGTTCTCCTCTCCTTGGGATTGCACCAAAAGAAATGTCTTACTGATTGCCTCCATCTCTTTTACAGTAATACATTTGATTTTATATTTTTTGAACTCTGATCACCTTGCTGTTCTAATTGAAAGTGAAGTTCAAACCAGTGATGACCTAGAAGAAAAAGACACACTTTTTACCAAAAGGCATGATAATCTTCAGATGAAAAGTGACAATATTGTGCATAAAACCATTATTTCAAATTCCAAACAATTCTTATGGGAAAAAAATGGAGAACTACCAGCTGAAAATGAGAAATTTGGGAATAAAACCAGATCTACTTCAACACAGTCATTTAAATTCATTATTAATGAAAAAGAGAAGTGCAAAGATAAAACACCTTTCTTGGTATTGCTAATAGCAACTACAGCTGCTGAAATTCAGCGCAGAAGTTCCATCAGAAACACTTGGGGAAATGAATCTGTGGTTCCAGGAGCTCAGGTTGTTCGGTTGTTTATGCTGGGCATTGAGAGCAAGGGTCCAGACGAAGTCCTACTGAGAGAAAGTGAGCAATATCACGATATTATTCAACAGGACTTCCTGGACACTTACCATAACTTAACTCTTAAAACTTTGATGGGCATGAGGTGGGTTGCCTCTTATTGCAGTGCCACAAGCTTTGTTATGAAGACAGACAGCGATGTCTTTGTGAATACAATATACCTTATAGAAAAACTTCTCAGGCCTCTTGTGCCTCCTCCAAAAAATTATTTCACAGGCTGTCTTATGAAAGGGCATAAGCCTATTCGGAATAAAAATAATAAATGGTACATATCAAAAGAAGAATACCCAGGTGACAGATTCCCTCCTTTTTGTTCAGGAACTGGCTACATCTTTTCTGGAGACCTGGCTTCAAAAATTGTCAGTGCTTCTGTAATGATAAAATTCATACATTTGGAAGATGTTTACATAGGGCTCTGTCTTAATGCAGAGGGAATACAGATAGTACCTCCCCCTAGTCATTCATTGTTTAACATATACAAAGTCCCATTTTCTCCTTGTCGGTACAATAATATAATTACATCTCATTACATTCAGACAAATGAGCACGTAGTCTATTGGGAAACACTGCGAAAGGACCACACGTGTCAGACAGGAAAGGAAGGTGTATAGCGCAGAGTCCCTTCTTTCTTTGACAATGGACAAAACAGCAGATGTTTTCTTAGAAACAGCATCTATGTAGAGATAACTTTCAAGGTTCAGGGACATCCTGAACTGGGGGTGTAGTCTTTGTATTAGGTTGCATGCAAAAGATTTTTCTTCCATAAAGCGGGCTCTCTCTGCTGATTGAAAACCGCTTGGTACTTTACTTTGGTTTGGATGAGGTACAAATTAATACTTACACTGTTTTAAAATATGGCAAGAGATCATATCATCTATACTGAAGAAAAAGCAATGAAGATGCAATGAAACAGTTTTTCATTAACAAGTAATAATAAATTAATGTGTTAATTTTATATTGCTCAGATGTAATTAGTCTACATACCATTACATTTACTCAGATGGCATTTCAGTGTGACTGAAGAAGAAAGCATACATGATATCCTATGCTGGTGAATTAGTGATAGAAATATGGATGGAAACTGCTTTTTTCCAGAAAATCTATTAGGATTTGCCAGATCTCTATTAGTGCATGGAGTTGCTATTACTCTCTAGCCATATATACAAAGAACACGTCACAAGATACCACTTAGTTGTTATTATGGAGAGATAATAAACAAGAGGAAAATTAAATGCTGATAGAGTGTTTTGACAGGAATGTATTAAATTCCATTTTGAAGTACTCAGCCATATATAAAATATCCTCATAGCTGAGGAAAAAAATAAGAAGATGCTTAAGAACCTCGCAAGCTAAACGTTTCAGTCAAAATGTCTATCTAAGTAAATTACTTTCCAGATTTCTCTCCAACCAAGAATATAAATTTTCTGCTACTCCCGATAAGAATTCAGAGACCTTTATAGTAATTACTGAATGCACCAACTGGCTGGATTAATTGAATACCTCGGAAAAAATACCTGTAACTTTGCAGGAAGCTTATCAGATGCATATGGGAATCAAAATGTTAATCACATAAATACCAAATACTTCAGCCGGAGCTGAATTAAGAAAGCGAGAATACAATATATGCGTCCCCACTGTCATTTTGTTGTGGAACATCTGAAGAATCAAGGACACTTAGTGAACAATCCAGACCGAATGCACCTGTTGTGTTTGTGAGCAGTAAGCCTCAAGGACATTGTGGGAGCCGCCTGCAGTCAAATAATGATGAGAACAACCTTGAGAAGAAGAAGAAAAGTTGGTGTACGTGACTGAGATCAGAAAGCAAAGCAGGACACATGTAGAGAGGACCGTGCGCGTGGACAAGAGACTTTAACAAATCATATCGTAGCTAAGAGCGCGTGTACAGATATAGTTAACCAATTAGTTAGGAGCTTGTGCATGATAGGGAAATAGAAGAGCTATATTAACCGGGATGTATCAACAATAAATTGGCATTTGCTTGATCACATTGATCGTGTGCAGTGTCCATGACTTCCGCGTCAACAAGTGGCGCCCGAACAGGGACCCTCGGATCAGTGTTGGACATTCCAATGAACCGAAGACGAAGGGTGCGGAAGCCGTCCAAAGGTGAGTGCTGTCCCGGCACTTGGGAAGAAGCACGCAAACTAATCAGGCGAGCGGCTGGGGAGAAGATGGGGTCCACGCTGACAAAAGAAGAGTCAGCAGTGGTTAAGCTCCTCCAATATATACTCTCTACGAGAGGACTAAGCTATGACTCGTCTACCTTGAAGGCTTTGCTGCTTTGGGCAAAGGGAAAGGACTTGATCCCCACAGTTGGAGCTGCTTTAGAAGTCCCAACATGGGAAAAAATAGGGACAGAGCTCTGGGAAGAAATAAGTAAGGGATCTAAAGAGGCGAGCAAATTTTCCACCGTGTGGAGGCTGATTAATGAAACATTGAAAAGCATGACAGCCGAACGTTCAGCCATTGCGTCTGCTTCTGTGGCTTTGACTCCGACAGGCGAGTTGCGATCTGCCACCAGCATGCTGTTCTTGGGTCCAGTGATCCCTGCTGTGGCCCTGGCTCGCGCTGTGGGAAGGGTCTGAGTCCCAGTGGGGACTGCAGCCACGGCCCCTGCCACCACAGATGTGCCGGCACCAGAGTTGGCACCAGAGCAAAAAGTTGTGGAAAACTTTTCACCACCACCAGATGTACCACTCCTGGACACCCCGCCAGACTGCGCCAGTGTAGGCTC